GATGCAGTTTATCGTCTTACCCAGGACGCGGATGCAGTTTTTCGTCATACCCAGGAATCTGCTTCATATTATTATGTGACAAGGGGAATTTTCGCGAAAATGTTCTGCTTTTTATCTGTTGTTCACCTGAATCAATTTGTTCTAAATTCTCTTGGTGGTATTTTGTGACTTTTGCTTAGATTTGGGCATTTTCGTGCAATTGCAGTAAATACGAGGGTGGGTTGATACGAGGGTAATTAATAAATACGAGGGTGGTTCGCAGGCTGGCTATAAAGTGGTGATACTAGTTATGTTAAATCTTGCATACATTAATTTCAATTCTTCTTATTAATAACTGCGTTTTTAATTTCCAGATAAACTATCATCTCACTGGTCAAAGAGAACCGTTCACCAGGCTGATTAAAAATGTCAATAGCAGTCATAACATCATCATCACATAGATAATGGTTCGCAGTCAAGTGTTCTTTCGTATGACAGATGACGCCAAGAAACTTAATCGAAGTTCCTGCTCGACTTTTAAATAAAATATGTCAGATAGTCAAATTAAGAAAATAGTGACGGTGATCAACTTATTCAAAGTCACGGTCACCCACAGCGGCCATTGAAACCAAGGACTGGAGTATTGTCCTGCTAAAACAATGTCAGTTTTCCTGGATGTTTGTTCTTGGTTTCCTTTCATAACTACTCCAGCAAGTTGAAATATTACTCTATATTGATGTGTGGCTCTTTTGAAGATATTCAATAAACACAATGACTGTTGCGTCTTAAAAAGATAGGCCATCACACTCCCTTCAGATTAAATGATTTTAGCTTTCTTGGAAGCACGTCAGGAGGGGTGTTTCCACTAGGTAGATTGTTGCTTTGTTTCCAGCTAAAAGTGATGGGCTTAACACACATCCTGCGTTAGGAAACGTACAAGGAAAATTTTGTGGTATCAAGGAAAACTCGTTGACACTTTTGTAATGTTAAGAAATACTCGTTGTCACTTTAGTAATGTTCATTGTAGTAGAGACTTTGTAATAGTTGATACAAAAATAGTAACGCCGTTGAACAATACTGTTGTCCAACCCCTTCGAATAACACTCGTACTAAATAATACTTGCTCGATAATACTCGAATAGTAATTCGTATAATGAAATAGTATAAAAAAATAGGTGTCCGTAGAGTAGAAATAGTGATCCGAATAGTAATGGAAGATAGAACAGGAATAGCGATCGATTAGACGTCACGGGACGTCCTACTTATGCGTTTCCTATATGGTCACGTGATCTACTTAATTCAATAATGAGATCGCTTCTGTTTGTTCACTGGCAATCTATGTTCAAACATGTTATTTATTCCTATATAACAGAAACCAACTCTGTATCAAACAATGTCATATATTCCCGTCATTTGATCATTCTGATGCTAATTGCTTAGGTGTCAGAAGATGTGTCACCCACCGTGTAGAAACCTTCATTATGCCAAGTTCATTGTGCAAAATATTCTCAACCCTCTCGTAGGATATGCTAATAGCATTGGCTATTTGATTTATTTGAGTTATAGTCAATAGGCTATCATCCATCACAGTGTGGTGAAAATAATCAATGTTTTCCTTAGTTGTAGCAAATCCAGGATGTTGAGACATTGTGTTACCCTCAAGACGCTCTATTCTCCTCCTAAATTCAGCTGCCCACTTTTGCACTGTTCATACAGTTGGAGCGTCATTCCTTATGTAGCAAATACTTCAGCATAAATGTCATTGGGGTCTAAACGCGTTTTCTTTAAGAATTTGATAATATATGCAATGCGGAATCACAATTTTTCCATAGTTTCGGCCATAACTACTCCGGTTCAGATTGGACCTAGGGACAACAACACGATCCTCAAAACATGCTATCTCTCGATCACAGACATTGCTGCCCAGGATTGAAGTGCTACGAAGGACAGAAAATTGTAGAGAGCGATGAACGGTAATATTCTGAATAGGCACATGGCATAAAAAAAGAAATCATATGTTATAAATTCAAAGGTCAGCCAATCAATACAATCAGACACTTTGTTGCAGAGATAATATTAACGTGAGGCTTATTCCGGATAATATAATATTTTCATAATTACTATCTATATAGTTATCACGCGACTAGAATATGCTAGGTTATATTTTCGTATATATTTAAAATATATTATAGTAAAAATAAAATATAAATTCTCAAATAACAATAAAGTCAACGTAGCTAGAACAAAGGCAGTAAGAATAAATAATTGGATATTGGTTTAACATTGTTTAGGCATACTGTTTTATCTCTTTTTCTCTATCTATCTCTATACACACACACACATATATATACATACATATATATATATATATATATATATATATATATATATATATATATATATATATACCCCGTTCGAAGGGCAACTTAATGTTTCGTTGCACTTCGAACGTAGGTATACTGAATATTTATTAATATATACTTCTTATATATTTATTTACACCTTAAATTATATAAATATTTATTTGTTTATCTGTGTATACACGCTAATGCATATCACATTATTTGTTTTATCCAACTTAATATCTATCTATCTATCTATCTATATCTATCTATATATATATATATATATATATATACATTGTGTATTTAGGCAGCATATTTTCATTTTATACGTTTCATTAAATAATATAGACAAGTGTTGTCTATTTATTTTATGTAAAAATTTTTCGTATCTTCTGATAAGTTTGGTAACATTATCATTAACCGAAAAAAAAATTCACAATATTTATCCATTATTTTTTAATAAAATCTAAGCTTTCGGCTTACTCAAGCCATTATCAAAGATGTAATTACAAACATATCAAACAATATACGGACACGACAGCGATGATAGTCTGTCATTGTTTTGTTTACATAGTGGATCACTAAGCAACGATGAACACGCGCATATAAGACGCTAGAAGCGAAAATCGCACCGCATCTCATGACGTCACACATGACTACACGAGAGTGAATTGTAGAATGAAATAAGGAAAGCCGTTGGTATAAACCAATGGCTTCTGTTACCAATTATAGAAATTATAGACATTTAAGAATATTTGTAGAGATTCCATAGTTGATTTTGTTTTAGGTTGGGTTTTAACTGTTTGATGTATAATGCTTCAAGTATTTTTAGTTTTTTGTCTATTGTTTTCATGTCGAAGTATAGTTGTGTTTTCGACAAGTATTTTACGGAATTGTGTGTGCGGGCAGGCATGTTGTTTTAAATGCCTAAAAATGTTAGAGTTTTCATTAAAATGTAGTGTCAACCGTCGTGAAAGCGAGTTTGTGGTGTGACCAACATAAATATTATTTAATTCGTTGGAGATACACTCTCCCAAAGGGCAGGAATTTATAAACTATGTTGGTTTTTGCAAAATATAACTGGGGGAGAAGAATCATTGCGAAGTATTAAGTTGGATATCCTAGATTTAGTGTTGTATATGATTAATTTAATTTTTTTTGCTAGGATCTGTAGTTGATATATTAGAATTTACTAAATTTTTTAGTATGTGTTCATCTTGTTTATAATTAGTATGCATTTGATTACGATATAGGAGATTAATATATTTGAGATCAGTAGAAGCAGTATTATGTACAATTTGCTTATTATTGAGATTTCTAAGAAAGCATCTTATTTGTTCATCAACTATATAGTTTGGAAAGCTATTATTAATAAGTGTCTGTTTTATATTCTTTTAGTTCACTGTAAAAAAATCTGTTTGGTGGATGAATTAGTTTCTGCACGATGTATTAGATTCTTTATAATTGCTATTTTGTAGTAATATGGGCATTCGCTCTTGTAGTTAAGTGTACATGAATTTATGCTTGTAGGTTTTTGTATGGCGAAATAGTAAATTTGTTATTATTTGTGTTTATCAATATGTCAAGGAAGGGATTTTTATTATTAGTATTGAGTTCATATGTGAATTTAAGGACAGAATTATTTTGGAACCGTTTTTGAAGTTGAATTATTTCATCTGTATTTTTTAACTAACATAAGAATATCATCAACGTATCTTAGGTAGATTGATGGTTTTTAAAATCTGTAAATAACTTATTTTCGAGGTTATTTATTTATGTTCACCACAAACTCGTTATTTTCACGACGGTTGACACTACATTTTAATGAAAACTCTAACATTTTAGGCATTTAAAACAATATGCCTGCATTGCAGGTTTTTCACACACAATTCCGTAAAATACTTGTCGAAAACACAACTATACTTCGACATGAAAACAATAGACAAAAAACTAAAAAATACTTGAAGCATTATACATCAAACAGTTAAAACCCAACCTAAACAAAATCAACTATGGAATCTCTACAAATATTCTTAAATGTCTATAATTTCTATAATTAGTAACAGAAGCCATTGGTTTATACCAACGGCTTTCCTTATTTCATTCTACAATTCACTCGTGTAGTCATGTGTGACGTCATGAGATTTGGTGCGATTTTCGCTTCTAGCGTCTTATATGCGCGTGTTCATCGTTGCTTAGTGATCCACTATGTAAACAAAACAATGACAGACTATCATCGCTGTCGTGTCCGTATATTGTTTGATATGTTTGTAATTACATCTTTGATAATGGCTTGAGTAAGCCGAAAGCTTAGATTTTATTAAAAATAATGGATAAATATTGTGAATTTCTTTTTTCGGTTAATGATAATGTTACCAAACTTATCAGAAGATACGAAAAATTTTACATAAAATAAATAGACAACACTTTTTTTATATTATTTAATAAACGTGTATAAATATATACATATATATATATATATATATATATATATATATATATATATATATATATATATATAAAAGAATTGCGATCAAATATGGATTAGAAATATATACGCACGCAACCATACGAATAGATACCCCGACAGGCATATTCCTTTTATTTGGGAGCTGTTTTTTAATATAAACTATACTTTTATAAAATGCACATTTACAAGTAAAATTCAATAGGATAATGTTTACATTAGAATTTTTATGTATATATCCGTTTCAGTATTTTCATATCTATCTAGGTAGCTATTTCACTCGTATAAAAGCCACGCATCTATCTATCTATCTATCTATCTATCTATCTATCTATCTACGACTTGTTCATGGAAAATCATTAACTCCTAAAACTAAAAGTATTTTTCGATAAATCAATTCCTGCAATTCATTCGCCGTCAAGATGACTGCTCGGAAATATTGTTCCATGTTGGCGCTTTTCGATCACGTGATGTAATCGGTGTTATCTTCACACTGTAGTATATGTGATTTTTCTTTCGCAATAATTTAATGCTCTCATAAATTTTAACTGCGTAACTTTCATTGGTTCATGCCTTAAAGTGTAATTATTTATTCAGCGAGGTGAGTTTGTTGCTAACAATGTTATCGGCATGAGTTAACAAGGATGTTGATCTATTCTGGAACATTGAAATCGATCAATATTTTCCTAGCAACGACACGTTTGGGAAATATATCATACCCTGATTATACATTTCCTAACACAATGCTTGCAACGTCACTGAGACAGCGTGTTTATGATAGGCATTCCAAATGACATTTGAGTTCGGGGAAAATAGATTTTGAATGGGCATTTGTCAAGGCACATTTTTTTTTCTAACTAGGAGGGAAACATAAAAGATATATTCTTTTTTATGGACACTACCAGCAGATTTTCTCAATCTTACCGTTCTTTCTCCTTTTCTCACCCTCTCTATATCTATGAATATTTCCCATCTTCCTGTACAACACGGGCGATCATAATTTTGCACACCTTACTCTCTTTTCTCGCGAGCAAACATAATATTTTCGTTACTGTCACTCTTTTCTGCGTTACACGTTCCTTCCTTCAATTATACAGTTGGTTACATCTTGTTTCCCTTTGTTTCTATTGCCTTGTATGTGTTAAATTCTCCAAATGTTATCTCTTCATAGTATGTCTAAGTTGTTAGCTTTCTCTTTATCAGTGTTAACAACACTTTATATATCGGCAATTTTCACCTCAAGTTTTCCTCATTTGTCACCCCCTCTTTTAATGTTATTCTAAAATTCTTTTGTAGAATCACCAGGTTTCTGAGAAAGTAGTTGATGCGCATAGTCCAAAACATTTCAAACATTGAATAAAGTACAGGTAGAGCAATTTTTGAAAGAATATAATGAAAAATAACGTTACGTAAAATAGATTAAATAAAATATAAAAGATTAAAGAAATCAAAAAATAAGGTAAATAAAAATAAGTTATTTAGATATATTCAAATATATAATATAATACATATAATGTAATATATATAATATAAAATATATATATAATATAATATATATAATATACTATAATATACCTGAATTTTTCACGTTATTTCTAATTTAACTCGTAAATATCTCTAGTATTCCGTCTTGTAACTCTTCCATATGGCATCAAATATGTCTGTCAAATTCTTAAAAGCGCTGACTTCTCGTTAATTATAATAGTTTACAATAATTTGTGACTTAATATTTATTGTAAACAAGTTTTTCAACATTGTTCAGTAGCGTAAGGTGTATCTAAATTTTCTCACAATCTTATTACTAGGAAGCTATGATTTTCAATATAGTGTCCAAGATTGCCGCTTGCCAAAGCAATAACTCCCTAAAAATGCTTATTATTCATTCTTTCTAAACATGGTTTTTGAACGTTCATTGTTTTTATCAAGCGGCTTTAATAACGTAATAAATGACTGCCGCAATATGACGAATAGAAAGATTCACTTTCCAATATGGCGTCTAACCTAATCCATAATCTTATTCATAAGAAACTTATTAAGTAGTTACTGCATTTGCTTCCATTTTTATGGAAGAGCAAAGAAGCTGGTATAGCGGAAGTTCTTTGTGATTGGACTATAATGACCAGAAGATTCACTGTCTGTTAGGCACACTATGACAATAGTTGGAGATAACGGATGGCACACAGTTCGATACCCAGTTAATATCGACTGGGCTACTGTGTAGATGAAGTATGATGTTGAAAGATCCGAAACCTCTAATGATCTAAAAATTCACTGATAAATTGTGCCAAAGGGATGTAATTCTCGAAAAAACTTTTTCAAGATAGCATCGAAGATGGCCACCTGTTAATTCAGAAATGCCGGTTACAAGTTTCTTTTTCATTCTAGATAACGTCCTCCTGTATTTTATACTCTCATCTGCGCTTTGTTAGGAAATTATACTTCCATAAATTGATTGATAATTTAAGTAATGCGATCTTTGCATCCATATACATGGAAATAGAAAAATAATCTCTGATGTTTGGTGATTGTCCATCTTGTAATTTAAATGTATTTATTCAATTTCCTTTGAAAATATTGGCTCTAATACACACACAAAAAACCTATCATAGCATGAATGGGAGTGCATGCATCACGCCGGCAGAGAATTAATTGAATTTTAAAAGAAAGCTATACAATTTTACCACAGCGCTTCAGATGCCGCTATTAAAAGTCTTGGTAAAATATCAATCAAATCCTACATTATGACAACTGCTCCAAGCTTCAGATTGTATCACTATTAAAATTGTCGCAATTTTCTGTAACATTAAAGACGATCTTACATCAATCGGCGAACTGAATTTCTTCTTGTTAATGTTCTATCTCACCAAGGCTTCAAACCATCTATCATGGAATAGTTTTATCTAGATACCTCCGCTAATTCGCTATACGTAAGGATTAACAGAGATTTTAAAAATGAAAACGCTTTCTTGAAGCTTTTAATCTTAGCTTTAATTGAAAAGTAAACGATTTAAAATTTTACTATTTCCAGTAAGCAAAATACACTTCCAAACAAAACTTATATTGATCGGAATCGATTTGTTCTTCATTTAAATCGATAAAGTCGGCTATTTTGAAACATTTGTAAATAAAAGTTAATTCTACTATTTAAAAATCTTGCAAAAAAATAAATATATATATATATATATATATATATATATATATATATATATATTTCTGAAACGTTATTTGAGGAAAGTTATCAAATGCAAAGTTGAATTAATCTGACTTAAAACCAGTATTACTTATTTTATAAAATATGTATACAAATATTTCTTATCCACAGCGTCTTGTATTTCAGATATATCGAACGATTTATCGACCAGCTAACGGGTTGACAATTTAAGTATCTTGATTCGAAATTGATAGCAGACAATAAAATTTTAATTGTGTTTTTTTTTTTTTTTTCCGTAAGAGGGTCAACCCTCAAAACACATGGCCTTTTAATGATAATATCATGTACGAACCGGCATATTTAGAAAAATTAAAACGTTAAACGGAAAATAAATTCAAAATTCTTTTAAAAGTATTCGGGGCTCTCAGATTGCAATAAGTTTTACAATATGTGATGAGTAAATATAGTGGTTTCCTTGATAACAATATTTTCTAAGAGACATCATTGAAACTGGATTTTAAAAGTTTTAAAATATTTATAAATTATTCAATTTTAAAATCAAAATATATCTTGTAAAAATTCATTTTTCATTGAAAATTTTTTTCAGACAATATTGTTTATATATATATATATATATATGTTATTCATTAAAGAAATTAAAAGCTTCTCTAATTAATTAATTAATTTAATTATTACATTTGTTTTATTTTTCGATTCAGAGCATATTTTCTGTAGGACGGTGTCCGATTTCGCAAAAAACAATTCGGTGATTTAAATTATTCAAAGAATTCTGCTTAGAAATAATATAGTCACTAAAAATAATCACGTTAAATTTCTCAAATTTTCATGAAATAAATAGGGGGATGAAACGTATGCAAATTTTTTTTTTACCCAGATTTTCTAACATCAAATAGTTTAAAAAATAATTTAATTTATTTGTGAATAAGTTCTGAAAATTTCATTAAAATTCGACAATTATTTGAGTTTTGCAAGAATACTTAAATTAATATGTCTGTCATCGTAAAAAAGAAGACAGAATTTGCTATGCTAAATTTAGTCAAACATTGGCACAAGAAAACTTTTTTTTTAAATTCCAATTGCGAATGTTCTAAAAAGGAGTAAAAAGTTTCATTATTAAAAATTTAATTATTATTTAAATAATACTTTGATACTTAAGACTAACATACAGCCTTTGACGAGAAATCTATATTTCCATTATGTTTGAAGAATGTTTGCATCACGTAATGCTGTTTTTAGCGAATTCCTGGAGGTATATTATAAGCCTTGAAAGTTGATATTAAACAGTACCAATAAAATAATAATGAGTAAGAGTTTGGTACTGTTTACAGTGCCTTACACTTTGCCCAGGATGTGTGCGAATAAAATAGTTCTTCTCTATATGATCACTGACATTTGGATCAGACCTTATGTATAAAAGCAAAGGTATTGTCAACACATGGATAACATAAAATAGTTTATATTAACATACGGTGGTTTTTATTTAATTATGTTTTGAATGGAAACCACTAGAACAATCCTCCAATGAAATGATCCTGAAGAGCTAGCCAAAGAATTATTGTTTTTTTCAGCGCTTCGACATCAATTCTCTCCATTAAATAAATAAATAAATTTATCATTACTCATTCTTCCTATAAAATGTTTTTGCACGTTCATTAACTTTATCAAAAGTCCTTTATAATGTAATAAATGAAAGACAACGTATATCTAGGGAAATATTAACTTTCCAATATGGCGTCTAACTCAGTCCTTAAATTGTCTATGATCCGTATATAAAAATATTATTTTCATGATGCCATCGAAGATAGTAAACAGTCAATTCTAAAACAATATGTGAGAAAAGTATATCGTTTCTCACTCATCAGTGACATTTGAAAGTCATTTTTCATAAAAACATACTTACTGTCAATGCATTAGGTAACCCGAAAATATATTACGGATAGAGTAGGGACCATTGTAACTGTTCTAGAAACAAATGATCTTAAAGAATCCTGGAAATTGGTTTATAATAATTTCATTGGTACCTATGAATGAGTATACACATATCCGTGCACAGGAAGTTCACTTTTAATTCTGCTCAAGAGTTTAAATTGTTTAGAGTGATATCAGAGAATTTTGAAAAGGTTATATAAAAATGGTGTTTTGAATAAAGATTCTGATGATGTCATTCTTGTACTACGAATGCCAATATCATCAGAATTCTTAAAAGAATCCTGTCCACTTGTATTCGAGGATATCCGTCTACTAGGGCAGCTAGCCAGTCTCTATTGAAGACGCTTTCTCGGGCGCATTTGTGTTCATTCATCATCCACAGGATCCACATGTGCTTTATACTGAAACTATCCTAAGCAGACCTTAGTTACAGTTCCTGAGAAAGAGCGTGATATCAACAATTTTAAAAGGGCCAGCACGTTCAAGCCCTCGGCCACGTTGACTTGTGACTTCGTGCTAGCACAACTCTCGACGGTTCTGTTGACCCAATTTCACTTACAAGGCTTGGGTCAACCCATGGTATGGTTTCAGGCACTTCCCAAAGGTGCCGTCCGCTGGGATCACACCCCCCCAATCCGATAACATTAGGAAGTCTCCTTCCTGACAAATCATTGTGAGATTCGAACCCAAGTCTCATGGTCACAATACTAAAGTCCTAACCACTTGGCCACGTATAGGTCAACAAGTATATATACACATGTTAGAAATGAGATTTTCTTATAGTCATCGTGTATGTCATCTTCCATATACCATGTCTTTTAACCTGCAAATGACTTTGCTTCAATTTACAATGCTTAAAAATTAAATATTAACCATACTATATTCTTGTTAATGATGGACAAATTATTTTCAGAGGGAGAAGTGAGGTAGCAATGATGTACGTCTGCAGAATAATGATGAGGAATCAATTGGGTGTAGAAAGTTTATCCTGTTTATTTT